GTTTAAGGATCTATTATAAAATCCATTCTAATTTAACATCGTGTGTATTACCTTAAAATTACTGTATTTCTTAATGGTAATACAGTATACTGTATCTATTATGGTAATAATAATTTATTATCGTATGTATAAAGGTGCAAACTAAATGTTTAAATCAACTTTATTTACATTATTATGTCTAAGTTTACATTGATGTAATTAAAATTTCAAAAATTAGCTTTTACATGGAATTTCTATTTGTCTTAAGATTTGATAAAGGTGACACTTTTGGTTTTGAGAATAATGTTGAATCAAAAGGCATTAAAATGCCAATTAAAAGACACAATAACAATATTCACTTAAAAAAGTCAGTTATTTTAGATTGTAGGTGTTTTTCACCTAAAAATTGTTTATCAATGTCATTTTATAAATCATGCACTTTATTCATTATTTTTGATGAAGTTTTCCAAGACCTGTAAAACATTTTCAATAATCTTATTGCATTACTCACTTCCCTGGTTGACGGCATTTCATTTTTTCTGATGTTTTATCATCATCATCATCATTTTTTTCGTCTGAAGATTTAATTTGCTCAACAATATCTGCATCTGTATAAAATAACATGAGTAACTATGCAGACTAATCAATCATCATGTTGTTTAAAGATGTGATGAACCTCACTCCACCGAAGTCAGGTGTTGAGAGTACCACCCACAGTCATTCTAGGAAGTGGACTCTGACCCTAGAAAATGAACACGTAATACATGTACTGTCTTTTCTTTGTTAAATAAAATTTGTAATCTAATTTTGTAAATCCGGGAGTGCTTTAAATATGATGTTAAAACAGTGTTTTATGCCATTACAAGTGGGTTTTTTTTAACATTATCTAGTATAGTAAAATCATGGGACCAATAAAAATTTGAGGTCATATTAGGGTAGTCATTACATTCGATGACGTTATAATCAGGTTAAATTGTAGTTACTAGTGTAATTTTTATATTGATTACAGTTACATTTTTAATACTTTTTCTCTGTTTTCTAGTTATTTTTTTTATTAAAAAAAAGTATTTAAAGCTCTGTAAAGTAGTATATTTAAAAATTAGATTAAAGTTAAAAATAATTTATTGAAAACTTAGAAAAAATATTTATAAGTATATTATGCTCTTTATATATTTTAACTTACATTTCAAATGAAATTAAATTTTCATTGCAATAATTTAAAATAGGAATAAATATAAAATCCAAATTACATTTATTAATTTGGTTCATGTATTTGTCTGATTTAACAATTAAGCAAAATGGAATTGATCAATTTGCTGACGATCACGCCAAAATATTATATTGTAAAAAAGGGAAGGCACTGAGGTCGGCGTTATTTGTGCGTTTTTTATTCGCTTATAAAAATAAAAAACGCACACATAACGCCGACCTCAGTGCCTTCCCTTTTTTACAACAAAATGGAATTGTTATTTTATAAAAAAATACATTGTTATACAAGGTTCAACCCAAAGAAACCAAATTGAATTTTTAAAATATAAAAACAAAATTATGGTAAAAATTTAATCTCATGCAAATAATTACTATAGAAACTAAACATTTTTTCTATTGTAACTTGACTGTGAATACATATTTTTAAACTAAATTTGAAGTTAAGTTTCTCAGAATTGTAGCCACAAGCTATTTTAGATTTTAAATACAGACAAAATTAATTTCTTTCATTGACATTTTTAATGTGGGGAAAAAGTCAGGAATTACAAATCAGAAGAATGTGTTAGTGTCAAACTGGATTTTCCTTCAAAATATTTTGACCCCTTAATTTTCTGACAAAAACTTTTTAAACGATGCGTACGATAAAAAATCGTTACGCTTACAAAAAATTATTTTTTTAAAATAATGTTATACATAAATTATTATTGTAGAGTTGTGAGAATTTTTAATAGCTTTTCTGAGGCACAAAACGTACGCATCGTTTATCGTACTCATCACAAAAAGTTTATCGTACGCATTGTTTAAATATTTAAAAAGTGCAGAACACAGCTGTATTCGATTATTAGAATCCTTCAAAAAACTTTTTAATATCAAACATGTTAACATTTTTAATACCCATCCTTGGACAATCTCCAAATAGAACATGTAATTAAAATGACAAAAACGATGATAGAACGCACAATCTACAAGTTCAAACTTAAAGAATTTAAAAATTTTAAAAGTTTAAAGATTAAAGGAAACATTACAAAAGTTTAAACTGATAATTATAGAACAGTGTAAAAGGATAAAAAAAGGAATTCAAGTAATCAACTCTATTAATTTGATACTTTAATTGAAACTAGACAATCTGTTGAATTATTGGGCTACAATGCTAAGTTAATAAATAGATACAAAGTAATTTGTCTAGAGGTGTGTGGTTAGACTGCCATATTATGATNTTGTTGCCTCCCATCACAAAAAAGTAATTTTTTTAATGACAGAAACTACAATTAACATTAATTGACAATCATCTTATGTACCAAAAATCAATCTTGGTATGAAAATTTTGAAGCTTTAGTTTTAATCCTTTAAATTATATAAATGAATAAATGCAATATTAAGATTTCATTAAAAAAAAATTTAATCTGATTTCTTTTGGGTCATTTCTTATAATATTTGTATTATTTTGTAATTAATTTTTATCAAATACAAAAAATGAAAAAATAAATTTATTTTACATTTATGCAGAATTCTACATAAATATTTCATTTATTTAGACACTTATATATTCATGTCATGGAACTGATTCACCTATCTCTTTGGGAAATTGTTATGAAGAATCAACTGTTTTCTTAACAGAGCTTCTAATAAAAATTGCTTTGCAAAATAGGTAAATATAATCTTATCATTATTACATTTGTTTGAAATGATATATTTGATAAAAATAAAGCATAAGTAAACTGGTTATTGTGGTGTTGATTAATGATTCTCGTAATATTTTACATACTGATTTCACAGTAAACTCCCACTTATTGATCTAAAAATTCAAGTTACTGAAGTTTTTTGTGTTAAATGAAAGTTTTCATTTAGTCCTTTTTAGATTAAAATATCAAATGTCAGGTTATTGTTTTTTACATATTTCACATTGCATGAAGTTTTGACATTTGATTTGATTTGTCTTTTTATGTAATGCATGCAGAACTTAAACATCTACTTTTTGCAATCATTCCACGACAGTGAAGTGTTTCAACAGTGCTTATTTACATTATGTTGAGATTTATTGCGAGTTCTTGAGTATTCAAATATTTTTTGCAATTGCTTTCTGTAACACATTTTTTATGAAAAATTTCCTGATACACATTTTATAATGTTGCCAGTTTATATAATTAAATGTAACCTGGCAACATCAAAAAGTGCAATTATTTTTGCCACAGAAATCTTGAATTTGTAACTGTTAATTTTAGACAGTGCTCATGGTTACTTAACAAATCCTAATAATTTGTATCAAAACATCAGTCTTGTTTTTACCACTTAATATTATTTCATTACTCCAACTTTGGACTAGGGGAGTGACTACAAGATTTAAAATGTATTACCTACATAAGACCTTTAGCCAAGCAATTGAAAAAAACAAGAAGAATGCAGAAAGAGAACTTAAGGGTAATGAAGTAGAACGAGTAAATTATCCACAATGATGATGAAAAGTTATATTTTCAGTGAAATAACACAGTTTTACTTACAATACATATGCTTTCTTTTTCTTTTGGGAATACATACACAAATATACATTTTATTTTCTGACCTTTAATTTTGAGGTCATTTAGATGAATATAGCTAATATTATGTCCAGATTGAAAATTGGTAAAAAGTACATTATTATTTTAAAGAGATGTGATCACTCTGTTGTTATTTTATAGACACTGTATATTTATATATGCAGTTCATAATAGTGATGGGATGATGAATCAGAAAAATCAGTCATTTTTTGGTAATTGAGCAAATCTCGTTATGATTTATTCTATTCATTCTATCTCTAACTGCATTACTATTTAACAAAAATTCACTATACCTTTAAAATGCAGTCTAGTTTACATCTGTCGAACGTTTTCGGTCTGATTCACAAACCTTCATCAGGATCGAATTATCAATCGAAATATATTTCAAATTTGCATAACGGAGATTCCAAACTGCACGTTCTTCTCGATTGCGCATGCTCATAAATATAATTTTATAATTTTAAAGTTGCCGCTTTCCATGCCGACGCTATTTTGTTCGATTCACGGAAATTTATATTACGCCCTTTTTCTTTGCTCTTGTAAATGTGCCAGGCTTCTGCATATTTTAGATGTTTTATATTTTTCACTTTTTGTATGACATCTGCCTTGCTCCATTTGATGTCGATCTCTGTTGGATCTGCTATCGCGTAATTGGCCAAAGCCGTGACTGGTTGTTTAAAGCTTACATTCTTTTTGTGCTCCTTCAATCTTTCATTTAATGATCTTTTAGTGGCTCCTATATANATTCCACGACAGTGAAGTGTTTCAACAGTGCTTATTTACATTATGTTGAGATTTATTGCGAGTTCTTGAGTATTCAAATATTTTTTGCAATTGCTTTCTGTAACACATTTTTTATGAAAAATTTCCTGATACACATTTTATAATGTTGCCAGTTTATATAATTAAATGTAACCTGGCAACATCAAAAAGTGCAATTATTTTTGCCACAGAAATCTTGAATTTGTAACTGTTAATTTTAGACAGTGCTCATGGTTACTTAACAAATCCTAATAATTTGTATCAAAACATCAGTCTTGTTTTTACCACTTAATATTATTTCATTACTCCAACTTTGGACTAGGGGAGTGACTACAAGATTTAAAATGTATTACCTACATAAGACCTTTAGCCAAGCAATTGAAAAAAACAAGAAGAATGCAGAAAGAGAACTTAAGGGTAATGAAGTAGAATGAGTAAATTATCCACAATGATGATGAAAAGTTATATTTTCAGTGAAATAACACAGTTTTACTTACAATACATATGCTTTCTTTTTCTTTTGGGAATACATACACAAATATACATTTTATTTTCTGACCTTTAATTTTGAGGTCATTTAGATGAATATAGCTAATATTATGTCCAGATTGAAAATTGGTAAAAAGTACATTATTATTTTAAAGAGATGTGATCACTCTGTTGTTATTTTATAGACACTGTATATTTATATATGCAGTTCATAATAGTGATGGGATGATGAATCAGAAAAATCAGTCATTTTTTGGTAATTGAGCAAATCTCGTTATGATTTCCAAATCTTCCACATTTAATAAGAAAATTAATTACAGTATTTGTTTCAGTTGCAGATTGAAATTATTTAAATTATGATGTTAGCAATTAAGTATTAGTTTATTGGAAATTTTTATGGTGACAAAGCAGAGATTAGGCGATGCCCCATATATTAATACAAGGTGGTGTCTGTCATGTCAGACTTTTCTTTTGTGTAGTAAGAGCAATGAAAGATTGCACTTGGTCTGTACTAACTGTTCCCATTTAGGGGAGATTGGGTGTACATCAGGTGTGTTAAACTCATTTAAACAACGGGCCATTAATGCAACTGGTAAGATTTATGCATGCCACATCACCATCACATTTACAAATTTTCTTAAAATTATAATTTGAAGTGAGAATGCAGGAATATAGATAGGGCAATTAAAACACATTATGTAGTTCAGTGAATTCGATACAACAATATATAGTTGCTATAGTATTACTTTTATTTAAACATTTATTTTATTTAATGTACATATATAAAAAACTAAAATTAATTGTTTTCACAGGAAACTTGTCAGCACTATCTTCCTCCTCAGTTTTCCAATATCTCAATTCAAAGACTGAGAACAATCTTCATTATGGCACATAGATGTTTATCAGTTAATCTTGATCCATAAGCCGTTTTATTTAATTTCAGAGCATCATCAGTTTGACACTCCTGCTGTTCATTATATAAATGATAGACATTAAGGTTGCCACCCACCGGTATTGGGCCAACTTGACCAGCAATTTTACACTAAGGCTGGTGGTTGGCAGAAATATTTAAGTGTCAGCAAAACAATTTAAAATATACACAAAATTATATTTTGATTGAAAAAAATATTATATAAAACAATATTTAATTTTTAGTATGTTAATGATAAAACAATATTCTCATTATAATTATGAAAGTTTTTGTTATGAACTATTCACAGACCATTCTGTAATATGTTAAATTTTCAAAGGAAATTTGCACAATTTCAAGTAAAAATACTTGTTTGTGCCAAGTTTACTGTCGTTTTGAGTTTTAAAAATTGATTTTTTTTTAAGATGGGTCAGTCTAGTTATTTGTAGTTCAAATGAATGAATTCAAAAATGGTTAACTCATGATGACAACAATGATGAAATTTGACTTGTCACATCATTTTCTAAACTTTATTTAGCATTAAATACAATGGAATTAAAACATTTACGGTGCATGCCAATTGCGAGAAGCATGAAAAAAAGAAGTGCATCTTGTTTATTTTTTCATTCTTCCAGTTATCATGTCAGCCAATGAACCAGTTTCCAGAGATGGTGACCCTAGATGACAGGATGCGATAGTTCTTTGAGTAGAAGGGAATTAATTTGTAATTTATTTGCGGATAGTGTTGCAATATTAACTTTATCTGAAATAAGATTACAAATTTATTTTGTAGTACACAATAAAAGCATGCATATCTATATATAAATGGAGAATTTTCAGGTTTCTTTCCAAATATGATTCTGAATTTCCCAATCGTTTTTCATTCTTAAGCTTGATGTTTATTAATTACTATTAATATACCATGCTTGTAATGTAAATTATTAATTTTTCTAAACTAAAATAAAATTTAGAAAGTATTGAAAAGAATTGGAATTGAAATTAGAATTAGGAGAAATTTTGGTATTGTCCCATCACTATTACAAATCTATATTTACATCATTATGTAGTATTTACAAATCTATATATATATAAAAATGAATGTGTGTGTGTGTCTGTCTGTCGTTCATGCATTACCACATCATTTATCCGATTGCCGTGAAACTTTGGGAAGTTGTTTAATATACTCTCGCGAAAGTTTCTGGCATAGTACGATTGCCACGAAGCTTTGGAAAGTTTTTTAATACACTCCGTTTCTAGCATAGTACATTTATCCTACGATAGATGGTGCGATCCTACGATAGTGTATATGAGCACTTCATCGTGAGATTGATGGATTTCAAATTGTGAAGACCATTTTCGCCTCCAAAAAATATCTCTATATATGCATTTGTGAACTGTTATTTACGATATTTGTAATAATTTTTGTTTGATCACTTTATTTCAACTTTTTTTTGCTAATTACGTATTTGCTCGAACTTTGTTAAAATCTTAACTGTATCCCAAACAACAACCGAAGTTGTAGGAGGAAATTCGCCTATTTTACCGATATAGGGATCCCCCTTTTCCAAATTTTAATATTGACTCGAAATAATTTAAAAAGACAAATTACAATAAAACAGTTTATTATCCAACTATCAGAAATTTCACAACATGCCAAGGAAGAGAGGAAGGAGAAATTAAATAATCAAAATTATAAAGGATTAAAAAATATATATAAAAATGGGGAATATCATGCTTCTTGCACGGACAACTGTATGCAGCCAGCTCATGCATCAGAAAACCTTCTGATTTATTCGTGTACGCGCCAGACGGAAAAACAAAAAATATCATGTATCCACAAGCACTTTAATAAATAAATAGAATTGAAACGATACTTTGAAATGTTTTCCTGATGAAAATGAATAATAATAAGTTTCAATAAAAATGATAACATGTAAATTGAATTTTATCATAACGAGTTTGCTTGAATTTCGTTTTTCTGAGATCGTAGCAATGCGTGACGGGTAAGCTAGTTATATATAAAATTTTTCGAAAAATAAAAAAAAAGTAAGAAACTACTTTACTAGAAATGTTAATTATAGAAAAATGATCAGTTTTATGTTTAATTATATATATACTAGCTGTTACCTGTGACTTCACCCGCGGAGGTTTTGCAAGCAAACCCCATTTATATTTAGTATTTCAACAACCATAGTAATTGTTATATAACACCTACCGCCGAGAATGATGAGAATTGCCAAGAATCAAACAAACAATTTTCAATTTGATCAATTTTCTGGAACGTTTACAATCGTTCTATAATCGAACCGATACGCAATAACAAATTTGAATCTAAAAAGGTTCGAACATTTGGTTAAAAAATCGAAATATATAAAAATATTTATAACAATGTCTGAAATGTTATAATTTAATACACCTAAGTACTTAATGAAGACTAATCGTAACANCTTAAAATGATTTTTCCACATTTAATAAGAAAATTAATTACAGTATTTGTTTCAGTTGCAGATTGAAATTATTTAAATTATGATGTTAGCAATTAAGTATTAGTTTATTGGAAATTTTTATGGTGACAAAGCAGAGATTAGGCGATGCCCCATATATTAATACAAGGTGGTGTCTGTCATGTCAGACTTTTCTTTTGTGTAGTAAGAGCAATGAAAGATTGCACTTGGTCTGTACTAACTGTTCCCATTTAGGGGAGATTGGGTGTACATCAGGTGTGTTAAACTCATTTAAACAACGGGCCATTAATGCAACTGGTAAGATTTATGCATGCCACATCACCATCACATTTACAAATTTTCTTAAAATTATAATTTGAAGTGAGAATGCAGGAATATAGATAGGGCAATTAAAACACATTATGTAGTTCAGTGAATTCGATACAACAATATATAGTTGCTATAGTATTACTTTTATTTAAACATTTATTTTATTTAATGTACATATATAAAAAACTAAAATTAATTGTTTTCACAGGAAACTTGTCAGCACTATCTTCCTCCTCATAGTTTTCCAATATCTCAATTCAAAGACTGAGAACAATCTTCATTATGGCACATAGATGTTTATCAGTTAATCTTGATCCATAAGCCGTTTTATTTAATTTCAGAGCATCATCAGTTTGACACTCCTGCTGTTCATTATATAAATGATAGACATTAAGGTTGCCACCCACCGGTATTGGGCCAACTTGACCAGCAATTTTACACTAAGGCTGGTGGTTGGCAGAAATATTTAAGTGTCAGCAAAACAATTTAAAATATACACAAAATTATATTTTGATTGAAAAAAATATTATATAAAACAATATTTAATTTTTAGTATGTTAATGATAAAACAATATTCTCATTATAATTATGAAAGTTTTTGTTATGAACTATTCACAGACCATTCTGTAATATGTTAAATTTTCAAAGGAAATTTGCACAATTTCAAGTAAAAATACTTGTTTGTGCCAAGTTTACTGTCGTTTTGAGTTTTAAAAATTGATTTTTTTTTAAGATGGGTCAGTCTAGTTATTTGTAGTTCAAATGAATGAATTCAAAAATGGTTAACTCATGATGACAACAATGATGAAATTTGACTTGTCACATCATTTTCTAAACTTTATTTAGCATTAAATACAATGGAATTAAAACATTTACGGTGCATGCCAATTGCGAGAAGCATGAAAAAAAGAAGTGCATCTTGTTTATTTTTTCATTCTTCCAGTTATCATGTCAGCCAATGAACCAGTTTCCAGAGATGGTGACCCTAGATGACAGGATGCGATAGTTCTTTGAGTAGAAGGGAATTAATTTGTAATTTATTTGCGGATAGTGTTGCAATATTAACTTTATCTGAAATAAGATTACAAATTTATTTTGTAGTACACAATAAAAGCATGCATATCTATATATAAATGGAGAATTTTCAGGTTTTTTTCCAAATATGATTCTGAATTTCCCAATCGTTTTTCATTCTTAAGCTTGATGTTTATTAATTACTATTAATATACCATGCTTGTAATGTAAATTATTAATTTTTCTAAACTAAAATAAAATTTAGAAAGTATTGAAAAGAATTGAAATTGAAATTAGAATTAGGAGAAATTTTGGTATTGTCCCATCACTATTACAAATCTATATTTACATCATTATGTAGTATTTACAAATCTATATATATATAAAAATGAATGTGTGTGTGTGNTTCAACTAGACAAAACGGGTTTTAACAAAGACATTCAGTATAAACTAGTTTCAACTAGACAAAACGGGTTTTAACAAAGACATTCAGTATAAACTAGTTTCAACTAGACAAAACGGGTTTTAACAAAGACATTCAGTATAAACTAGTTTCAACTAGACAAAACGGGTTTTAACAAAGACATTCAGTATAAACTAGTTTCAACTAGACAAAACGGGTTTTAACAAAGACATTCAGTATAAACTAGTTTCAACTAGACAAAACGGGTTTTAACAAAGACATTCAGTATAAACTAGTTTCAACTAGACAAAACGGGTTTTAACAAAGACATTCAGTATAAACTAGTTTCAACTAGACAAAACGGGTTTTAACAAAGACATTCAGTATAAACTAGTTTCAACTAGACAAAACGGGTTTTAACAAAGACATTCAGTATAAACTAGTTTCAACTAGACAAAACGGGTTTTAACAAAGACATTCAGTATAAACTAGTTTCAACTAGACAAAACGGGTTTTAACAAAGACATTCAGTATAAACTAGTTTCAACTAGACAAAACGGGTTTTAACAAAGACATTCAGTATAAACTAGTTTCAACTAGACAAAACGGGTTTTAACAAAGACATTCAGTATAAACTAGTTTCAACTAGACAAAACGGGTTTTAACAAAGACATTCAGTATAAACTAGTTTCAACTAGACAAAACGGGTTTTAACAAAGACATTCAGTATAAACTAGTTTCAACTAGACAAAACGGGTTTTAACAAAGACATTCAGTATAAACTAGTTTCAACTAGACAAAACGGGTTTTAACAAAGACATTCAGTATAAACTAGTTTCAACTAGACAAAACGGGTTTTAACAAAGACATTCAGTATAAACTAGTTTCAACTAGACAAAACGGGTTTTAACAAAGACATTCAGTATAAACTAGTTTCAACTAGACAAAACGGGTTTTAACAAAGACATTCAGTATAAACTAGTTTCAACTAGACAAAACGGGTTTTAACAAAGACATTCAGTATAAACTAGTTTCAACTAGACAAAACGGGTTTTAACAAAGACATTCAGTATAAACTAGTTTCAACTAGACAAAACGGGTTTTAACAAAGACATTCAGTATAAACTAGTTTCAACTAGACAAAACGGGTTTTAACAAAGACATTCAGTATAAACTAGTTTCAACTAGACAAAACGGGTTTTAACAAAGACATTCAGTATAAACTAGTTTCAACTAGACAAAACGGGTTTTAACAAAGACATTCAGTATAAACTAGTTTCAACTAGACAAAACGGGTTTTAACAAAGACATTCAGTATAAACTAGTTTCAACTAGACAAAACGGGTTTTAACAAAGACATTCAGTATAAACTAGTTTCAACTAGACAAAACGGGTTTTAACAAAGACATTCAGTATAAACTAGTTTCAACTAGACAAAACGGGTTTTAACAAAGACATTCAGTATAAACTAGTTTCAACTAGACAAAACGGGTTTTAACAAAGACATTCAGTATAAACTAGTTTCAACTAGACAAAACGGGTTTTAACAAAGACATTCAGTATAAACTAGTTTCAACTAGACAAAACGGGTTTTAACAAAGACATTCAGTATAAACTAGTTTCAACTAGACAAAACGGGTTTTAACAAAGACATTCAGTATAAACTAGTTTCAACTAGACAAAACGGGTTTTAACAAAGACATTCAGTATAAACTAGTTTCAACTAGACAAAACGGGTTTTAACAAAGACATTCAGTATAAACTAGTTTCAACTAGACAAAACGGGTTTTAACAAAGACATTCAGTATAAACTAGTTTCAACTAGACAAAACGGGTTTTAACAAAGACATTCAGTATAAACTAGTTTCAACTAGACAAAACGGGTTTTAACAAAGACATTCAGTATAAACTAGTTTCAACTAGACAAAACGGGTTTTAACAAAGACATTCAGTATAAACTAGTTTCAACTAGACAAAACGGGTTTTAACAAAGACATTCAGTATAAACTAGTTTCAACTAGACAAAACGGGTTTTAACAAAGACATTCAGTATAAACTAGCTTTAACTAGACAAAACGGGTTTTAACAAAGACATTCAGTATAAACTAGTTTCAACTAGTTAAAACGCGTTCTAACTAAAAACGGGTTTCGACTGTAACATATATATAGATATCACTAGTATATATTTGAAAAATTTTAAATGTTCTTATTTTGCAAAAATTTATTAGAATTTTGAATTTTATAAATTATAACTTACATACATATGCATTTAGAAGAATCTAGCATTGTTCTTTAATTTTACAGAGACCGCATTACAACTATTTGGCCAGGAATCAGAGATCATTTATATAGTTTAATTATGGAAGCAGCTGCCGGGGAGCATTATTTTCTGTTGGAACGTGGAGTTGTTGGCATTTTAAGAATCGTTATTCGAATGGCTCGAAGAGAAGAACTGATACCTCAGGTACATTTACTGTTTCATTTATTATTAGTAAAAGATGGATTTATTTATTTAAAACTAAGCTAATTAACAATATATTATTTTTCTAATAAGAAAAGCAAGTTTATTTTGAGAATAAATCATTCCTCCTGATTTAATGAAAGAATTTATAAGTGTATTGATAAACATAAGTAGTTTATCAAATGTGATAAAAATAGTCTTGGGTTCATTTTTTCATATATATAATATTTGTTTAATTTGATATTTTTGAAATTAATTCACATTTGAAATAAATTTTGAAATATCTTAGAAGAATATTTCAAAAAAGATTATATATTCAAACTGTAATTCATGCTAAGAAACCATTTTAGTAGAAATGTTAATTACAGAAAAATTATCAGTTTTATATTTGGGTATTTCTCCATTTACTTTTGCTTTTTACTTATCACTTTTCCAATATATTTGTAAATGTGTTTTCTTTCATCTATATAGCTCCATTAATTAGAAGGGCCTTTCTCTTGCCCTCCATGCAAAGTGCTACCAACATTGAACTTACTGCCATTTGCTCAGCAGTAACTGGGGTGGGTTATACCAATTCCAAATATAAACATATCTTGGATAAGGTTAAAAGATCTCTTTTTCCTGCCACCACTTTACATGTTCCAAAGGACTGCACAATAGTCCATCAAATTTAAACAAAATGTTCGTTTTGTTTAAATTTGTTCATACTGGGATGTTAAAAAAGGTTTTTTTGTGTTGAGTCCATCCATCACTACCATTCTGTGGCTGCATCACTGCCAGCATTTGCCACATTTTTAGACAACACCTGTTACATTTACTGGTCATCCCATGTTCAAGTCTCAGGAGACTTCTATGCAATGACAGGGATGCCACTTTCATACTAGAGAAGTTGGGTGTATACTCTATCCCAGGTGTGTCAAACTCATTTAAACTATGGGCCATTAATGCAACTGGTAAGATTTATGTGAGCCATATCACATTTACAACTTTTCTTAAAATTATAATTTAAAGTGAGAATGCAGGAATGGGCTATTAAAACACATTATTTAATTCAGTGAATCCAACTCAACAACTTTTATTTTATTTATTGTACATATTTATAAAATTAAAATTAATTGCTTTTATCGGAAACTTGTCAGCACTTTATTCCTACTACTAGTTTTCCAATATCTGATTCAAAGATGGAACAAACAATCTTCATTATGGCAGACAGATGTTTATCAGTTATTCTTGATCTGTAAGCCATTTTATTTAATTTCATGCATGAAAGTAATTGCTCACATAAGTACATATTTCAAAAAAAACCTAAAATTTGCACATCAAACTTTTTAATGTCTTGGTAATTTTTACCTAAATAGGAATATATTTTGGGAGTTTTTACTTTTCGATATTTGTCTTTTAAAACCGAATCATTCTGGAAATCAATCAATTCAGTTGTATTGAAGTCGGAGCTTTTTCAATTCCAAAGGAAAAAGATCCAATGAAAAGAGAGAAAATTTCTTGTAACTCTTTGAAATCATCACATTTATCAAATTCGTTTTTTTTTGTTTCATCAATTTTATCAACATATCAACTTCCGTCAGCCCTTTGACCCTTTATACCCCTCCTGTTCCCCACCGGGTATATTGCCCCTCCAGGCCTAACGGATTATGGAACGTTCAGGAATCTTACCAAAGGGCATTGTGTCCAATATTAAATATTTTATGACGAGTGATTGTCACAAAAGCAATGACATGATGGTTTCTTGCTATTTTCTTCGTAACACATTGTTCTGTTTTTTATATTATTGCAGAGCATTGTGGTTGGGGGCCATGAAAAAACACATCGGCCCACGGGCTGCCAGTTTGACACCCGTGCTTTAGCCCATTAGAAAATACATCTGGCATTTGCACCCACTACATAGGAGCGACAACTAGAATGTTGTCTTGACACATCTCCGAATACCAACATTCCATCATGGTAGGCAGGTGTGACACTGAAGTGTGACAACACCAACACACCCTGCTGTGGAACTGTGTGGTGATGCTCTGATGTTGTGATCATAGGAGCCTGGTATACATTAGGGAGACCTTTCTTACCATATTATTAAATCCATGCAACTCCCCCACACTTGAGTTGCCTGCAATGTGGGTCAACTTACATAAAAGACTAAAACATCATCTCTAGCTTCACTCTCAGCACCTAATCTACTCATTATGGCGCATGTGCATTACCACCATGCACACTTTAGTTTAAATTCTTTACGTTTGTTTATTCTAAATATAATTTTGTTCTAAAGGACTAAAGCTGTTAATTTTAGTTTAAAAAGTTTGTTTGAAAGGTTTATTTGTGTTTATATCTGCCTGAGGATGATATCTTATTACATGTCGAAAGCACTAGAGAATAAAGCGTTATTTGTACATATTTAATGCCTTTTGTGACAATTCTTCTCTTCCTTAAGTAAAAGATTGATGTGACATCCAACATTGATTTTGATTTTCTTATTTTAAATAAATTTTACAACCTTCTTTTTAACCCTAATGCTAATGTAGCTAGGTTCAGATAGGGAATTCCCAGTTTTACCGAACTTTGATTGTTTACTTTTATATAAATACTTTTATAGTTCCATTCATTCTGATTGGCTGTACCTAACAGTTCCACTACACATTACTCAACCAAATTTGTTTTTTTTTTAACCCCATCTTTGAGGCTTGCCATTTCTTTCAGATCCTTTCTCTATTGGTCAATGTGCGCTTTGTGGAACACTTTTATATCATTTTTTATATTTTAAACACATTTGTAAATAGTTGCTTTATAACACATAATTTTTTGGTTATATTTAAATATATATTTATATTATCTCTATTGATTTTTATTCTTTGTTGTTTGTATTGTAATCCTTTGTCACAGGCATTATTTTCAGGGGAGGATATCAATTGTTTTATGACATTTTCTTTTGTATAATTTAAAAAAAAAAAACAGTTTTAATATAGAAAATCAGTCAGTTGATTTATTATTATTATAAATATTAGTAATAATTGATACTAATTTCAGGTTTNTCTAGAACGTTTGCAATAATTCTATAATCGAACAAATATGCAGTAACAAATTCGAATTTAAAACGGTTCAAACATTTAATTAAAAAATCGTAATACGTAAATATCGTACATTTGGAAATTAAGTTATTACCACCAGAAACAAAAAATCTCATTTAAAATAGTACAGTAGAAGCCATTCTTCCGGTTAAGCCTTAATACTCTTTCTCTCCCCCCCGCTGGGGAATTTCGAAAAATACCTTCGAAGTGTGCATTCTCATGGCATTCCTACCAGAATGCAGATAAAAACAAAAAATTGCATCTAAAATAGTACAGTAGAAGCCGTTCTTCCGGTTAAGACTTAATCCTCCCCCTCTCCCCCCGCGGGGGAATTTCGAAAAATCTCTTCTTAGTGTGCGTTTTCATGACGTACCCTAACTGTGTACCAAATTTCACCACTTTAGGTTCAGCAGTTTGCTCTAGGCGATGATGAATCAGTGAGTGAATGAGTCAGTCAGTCAGGACTAGCAATTTTATATGTGTTACAGTTAAAACCCGTTTTTAGTTAGAACGCGTTTTAACTAGTTGAAACTAGTTTATACTGAATGTCTTTGTTAAAACCCGTTTTGTCTAGTTAAAACTAGTTTTAACTCAAATTCATTTTTGACTAGCAGTAAATTCTAGTTTTAACTAGACAAAACCGGTTTTGTCTAGTTAATTTACTGCTGTACATGTTTTGACTTTAGATAAAACTAGTTTTAACTTTTAACATTAGTTAAAACTAATTTTAGCTACATAAATATGTTTGGGGGAAATAAAGTTATGTATAGTGATTCGGCGGAAGATGCCTAACATTTTGCTTATGAAGAAAATTACAGCGCTAATTTGAGTTTAGGAGCCCTCTAATGAAAATATCATATTCTGGAGTATGTCTTTCAAATAAAAGTTTGGAGTTTATTTTAAAAAATTCTATACTGTGTTTGCAATGACGACTTTTTCACTGTCTGGCATTTTAAGCATCTCACCCCAAGTATCTGGGTGAGATGCCAAATGCCATTAGGGTAAGATAACAAATATAATTGCTTAAAATTAATTTTTGAATTTCTTAACCAAATTTAATTTATTGCATATGTAGTACAAAGTACTTCATAGTAAGTATAACAGCACAGTATAAGTATTGTTAAGTTTCCGCCCGTTCTAACGTGTTCTATAGCTAGCTGAAAGCTTTTTTCAGTCCAAAAACTTTTTTGAGAAGTCCTTATATAATTTCTATGCATATCCTGCAATAAAACGAGAAAACAAAAGTTTATTAAAAATAGGCATATTGGAAATCAATTAACAAAAAATAGGCACGTTACCCCAAGAAAAATGTGGCATATTTTCCATTTGTTGGGGTAAGATGCCTAGTAGAGTCACGTGCTCCAGCATGTCCGATCGGGATCGGCGGTAGCTGACAATGGAAACTTTAGAACCTTAACTACATCACACATTAATTGTTTTTAGCAATTTTTAATAAATTCCATTTTAACTTTTAGTTTAAAATTATTCTAGAAACATTTCACAACAAAAACTTCGTTCTTATCTAGCTTTTATTCTTCTCGGATGTAGAAAATGAAGTAACGGTAGCCAACTACAGCTTTCCGCACTCAATATTGGCCCAACGATTCATCATACAAATACATGACAATATGTGACGTCACCGTTTGAAAATATCAAAAATTAGGCATCTTCCCCCGCTTACCATCTTACCCCGAATCACTCTATGCGTTGCAGTCAAACCAGTTTTTAGTTAGGATGCGTTTTAACTAGTTAAAACTAGTTTATACTGGATGTGTTTGTTAAAACCCGTTTTGTCTAGTTAAAACTAGAATTTACTGCTAGTCAAAAATGAATTTGACTTAAAACTAGTTTTAACTAGACAAAACGGGTTTTAACAAAGACATTCAGTATAAACTAGTTTCAACTAGTTAAAACGCGTTCTAACTAAAAACGGGTTTCGACTGTAACATATATATAGATATCACTAGTATATATTTGAAAAATTTTAAATGTTCTTATTTTGCAAAAATTTATTAGAATTTTGAATTTTATAAATTATAACTTACATACATATGCATTTAGAAGAATCTAGCATTGTTCTTTAATTTTACAGAGACCGCATTACAACTATTTGGCCAGGAATCAGAGATCATTTATATAGTTTAATTATGGAAGCAGCTGCCGGGGAGCATTATTTTCTGTTGGAACGTGGAGTTGTTGGCATTTTAAGAATCGTTATTCGAATGGCTCGAAGAGAAGAACTGATACCTCAGGTACATTTACTGTTTCATTTATTATTAGTAAAAGATGGATTTATTTATTTAAAACTAAGCTAATTAACAATATATTATTTTTCTAATAAGAAAAGCAAGTTTATTTTGAGAATAAATCATTCCTCCTGATTTAATGAAAGAATTTATAAGTGTATTGATAAACATAAGTAGTTTATCAAATGTGATAAAAATAGTCTTGGGTTCATTTTTTCATATATATAATATTTGTTTAATTTGATATTTTTGAAATTAATTCACATTTGAAATAAATTTTGAAATATCTTAGAAGAATATTTCAAAAAAGATTATATATTCAAACTGTAATTCATGCTAAGAAACCATTTTAGTAGAAATGTTAATTACAGAAAAATTATCAGTTTTATATTTGGGTATTTCTCCATTTACTTTTGCTTTTTACTTATCACTTTTCCAATATATTTGTAAATGTGTTTTCTTTCATCTATATAGCTCCATTAATTAGAAGGGCCTTTCTCTTGCCCTCCATGCAAAGTGCTACCAACATTGAACTTACTGCCATTTGCTCAGCAGTAACTGGGGTGGGTTATACCAATTCCAAATATAAACATATCTTGGATAAGGTTAAAAGATCTCTTTTTCCTGCCACCACTTTACATGTTCCAAAGGACTGCACAATAGTCCATCAAATTTAAACAAAATGTTCGTTTTGTTTAAATTTGTTCATACTGGGATGTTAAAAAAGGTTTTTTTGTGTTGAGTCCATCCATCACTACCATTCTGTGGCTGCATCACTGCCAGCATTTGCCACATTTTTAGACAACACCTGTTACATTTACTGGTCATCCCATGTTCAAGTCTCAGGAGACTTCTATGCAATGACAGGGATGCCACTTTCATACTAGAGAAGTTGGGTGTATACTCTATCCCAGGTGTGTCAAACTCATTTAAACTATGGGCCATTAATGCAACTGGTAAGATTCATGTGAGCCATATCACATTTACAACTTTTCTTAAAATTATAATTTAAAGTGAGAATGCAGGAATGGGCTATTAAAACACATTATTTAATTCAGTGAATCCAACTCAACAACTTTTATTTTATTTATTGTACATATTTATAAAATTAAAATTAATTGCTTTTATCGGAAACTTGTCAGCACTTTATTCCTACTACTAGTTTTCCAATATCTGATTCAAAGATGGAACAAACAATCTTCATTATGGCAGATAGATGTTTATCAGTTATTCTTGATCTGTAAGCCATTTTATTTAATTTCATGCATGAAAATAATTGCTCACATAAGTACATATTTCAAAAAAAACCTAAAATTTGCACATCAAACTTTTTAATGTCTTGGTAATTTTTACCTAAATAGGAATATATTTTGGGAGTTTTTACTTTTCGATATTTGTCTTTTAAAACCGAATCATTCTGGAAATCAATCAATTCAGTTGTATTGAAGTCGGAGCTTTTTCAATTCCAAAGGAAAAAGATCCAATGAAAAGAGAGAAAATTTCTTGTAACTCTTTGAAATCATCACATTTATCAAATTCGTTTTTTTTTGTTTCATCAATTTTATCAACATATCAACTTCCGTCAGCCCTTTGACCCTTTATACCCCTCCTGTTCCCCACCGGGTATATTGCCCCTCCAGGCCTAACGGATTATGGAACGTTCAGGGATCTTACCAAAGGGCATTGTGTCCAATATTAAATATTTTATGACGAGTGATTGTCACAAAAGCAATGACATGATGGTTTCTTGCTATTTTCTTCGTAACACATTGTTCTGTTTTTTATATTATTGCAGAGCATTGTGGTTGGGGGCCATGAAAAAACACATCGGCCCACGGGCTGCCAGTTTGACACCCGTGCTTTAGCCCATTAGAAAATACATCTGGCATTTGCACCCACTACATAGGAGCGACAACTAGAATGTTGTCTTGACACATCTCCGAATACCAACATTCCATCATGGTAGGCAGGTGTGACACTGAAGTGTGACAACACCAACACACCCTGCTGTGGAACTGTGTGGTGATGCTCTGATGTTGTGATCATAGGAGCCTGGTATACATTAGGGAGACCTTTCTTACCATATTATTAAATCCATGCAACTCCCCCACACTTGAGTTGCCTGCAATGTGGGTCAACTTACATAAAAGACTAAAACATCATCTCTAGCTTCACTCTCAGCACCTAATCTACTCATTATGGCGCATGTGCATTACCACCATGCACACTTTAGTTTAAATTCTTTACGTTTGTTTATTCTAAATATAATTTTGTTCTAAAGGACTAAAGCTGTTAATTTTAGTTTAAAAAGTTTGTTTGAAAGGTTTATTTGTGTTTATATCTGCCTGAGGATGATATCTTATTACATGTCGAAAGCACTAGAGAATAAAGCGTTATTTGTACATATTTAATGCCTTTTGTGACAATTCTTCTCTTCCTTAAGTAAAAGATTGATGTGACATCCAACATTGATTTTGATTTTCTTATTTTAAATAAATTTTACAACCTTCTTTTTAACCCTAATGCTAATGTAGCTAGGTTCAGATAGGGAATTCCCAGTTTTACCGAACTTTGATTGTTTACTTTTATATAAATACTTTTATAGTTCCATTCATTCTGATTGGCTGTACCTAACAGTTCCACTACACATTACTCAACCAAATTTGTTTTTTTTTTAACCCCATCTTTGAGGCTTGCCATTTCTTTCAGATCCTTTCTCTATTGGTCAATGTGCGCTTTGTGGAACACTTTTATATCATTTTTTATATTTTAAACACATTTGTAAATAGTTGCTTTATAACACATAATTTTTTGGTTATATTTAAATATATATTTATATTATCTCTATTGATTTTTATTCTTTGTTGTTTGTATTGTAATCCTTTGTCACGGGCATTATTTTCAGGGGAGGATATCAATTGTTTTATGACATTTTCTTTTGTATAATTTAAAAAAAAAACAGTTTTAATATAAAAAATCAGTCAGTTGATTTATTATTATTATAAATATTAGTAATAATTGATACTAATTTCAGGTTTTGCATTCATTAAAAATGTTACTGCTGCTAAAATCACCAACACTTCTATTTGTATCTTCTCAAATTGTATGTGCTTTGTATGAATTGTTACATTCAAATGGTGGAAATATACATTCTTCTGAAGATTGGTCCATAATATTTATGTTGTTGGAATGTGCAGGAGCTGGTTCGAAACCTCCGAGATCATTACACATAACATCTGATCTTACAAGTGGAGATACTGGTAAAGAAACTAAATTTTATAATACTTAACTTAAATTTGTGAAATATTAGATTTAATGTATTAATATAATCTTTATAGGAGCACAATCAGATGGGGAGCTAAATACAGGTCACGAAGAAATATATAATGTAGATCGTGGTTATACATCCGATAGTGAGTTATATGATAAACAAGGTACAAGTGGACCACCTAGACATTACAAAATTAATCAAGAAAATATTAATAATGCAACAGGATGGATTCTGGTAAATAATTTTTGAACAAAACTGATTAGAATAAGATGGAATTATTAGTGTATTTTTATAGTAAATGCATATTAAATAAAAATCTTTGAATTTTAGATGAGTGACATTATAAATATTTTTATTATAAACTTTCATTCTGTATAATTGAATGCTAGACTGGACTAGCTCTAGATTTTCTGCCACTTCAATGAATTTGTTTGTGATGTCTGCATTTTAAAAAGTTGGATTTTTTAAATTTCACTTGTGTGTAATTTATGTATTTTTTATGGAATTATTTTTTTTTGTGTATTGCTATCTTTGAAAATTTATCATCCCAAACAGATGCTTGCTTTATTGGCCCTAGAGCTGGTTTTGATGCTAGATGAAATTGAAATGATTCTTTATGATTTTAAAAGATTCTCTTTCCCTGATCTCTAGCCTTTAATTGGTCGGTTTCCTGTATCTAAGCAGATAACAGACCATTTTGGGCTACCAAAGGTTTAATTCGACACTGTGTTTTAATCTGATCAAGGGAAATTAATCATACCTTGAAACTCCTGCTCGTATTTAATGTTTTGAATTCTTATAAGTCTGACACACAATCTCAGCGCTGCATCTCCTTTTAAGGTTATTGAAAAACTTATTTTTCTCTCTTGATTAATAATTTTATTATTTTCCGACTTTATTTAGGTTTTCTTCCAATTTTACGAGTGTTAGAATCAAATCCCAATTCCTTGATTTGACACTTTTATGTATTTTTAACATGTGAGCTCGAGTATTGCTTGGGCCTCACACGCTATTGTTTTTTATGAGAGTTTTTTATCAAATTAGTTAAATTGTTCTAAATTTTTATTGGACCGATTTGACTGGTAAAATTTTTCAAAATACTATTGGATGTTTTTTATGACATCAGCAAGTTTTTTTTTTTTTGTTTTGTTTTTTATTCAGTAGAATTTTTTATATATACCTTTTCAGCCCACCCCATATTACAATAGCATAAGAATCAAAAATTTCATGTTATATTTAAATAGATGTGGTAAAATAGTTCCCCTCCTGCTTAAAACCAACTTACCCTAGGCATACATGTAAACACATGGCAGTCACCAGCTGTTCTCAAAAAAAGGTCAGCTGGTTTGTAAACAATGTAGACTGCAAGTGTGAATGTTAGTGTGCTGTCAAATGAAAGAATAACAATTTCTGCAGCTATATTTATCAAATAAAAGCATTTTTTTTAGATTATTTAAAATTTTTTATATAGTTTTTCTATAAAAACATATATTTGGGGGTATTTATTTCACGGCAATTATTTCCTGGCAATTTTTTTGGCCGTCAGATTCACTTTTAAGTGGAAATAATTATTCACTATGCAGTTCTCTGGAAATAATTATTTAATATAAAAAATCAATAGATTAAAAATTTCCTGAGTGGAAATTAATTAGGCCTTGGGAACTCAACTCATTAATACAGAAATATATATGCTATTTAGAATAGAATGCTTGCTCATTTTAGCAATAATAAATTTCAATAGTAAAATTTTTTTATTACTATTGAGAATATTAATAATTAGAATTTATTGATTTATAAATACAGTAGAGCGTCGTTTATCCGAAAGCTGGTTATCCAAAACATCCGTTATCCGAAAGCATTCCAGTCGGCAAATTAAAATTTTCGCTAGTGCTGTGGCGCTGCAATCTTCGGCTATTTCTCGGGCTACTCAAATATTTTACGTTTTTGATACTAAATTAACATTTGAAGTATAATTTTTTATTGTTTTTATATTTTTCAATAAATTTATTTTGTTTGTACAAAATAAAAAAATAATTTTTAATGATACAATAGCCTTTGTTAGGCTTAACATCGACAAAAATTCAACGCGAAGCGACACGCAACGGAGAGAAATTTCAACATGGGATAAATTAATATATTTTTTCGTACATGATTCATTATCCGAAAAATAAGTTATCCGAACTACCCCAGTCCCTAATTGATTCGGATAAACGACGCTCTACTATAATTTTGAATTGATTTTAAAAATCAAGTGTAATCAAAGTAAAACTGTTAACATCTGGTATTGTCATCATTTTGTTGTCTGGTTATTGTCTTTTTCAAAGAAAATATGATTAATTTAAATTGTGTCATTTTAAAATAATTGTTTTAAGAATTTTTAAAATTATCAAATATTTATTTTAGGTTAATAAAGAAGGAGAAGTAGAATCAGTTCCTATACGTCCTCTCCCAGTCAATCAGTACAATATAGTTCTTGAGCAGGAATTGCTACCTCATGATCCATTTGCTTTTACAAAAGCTTGTGAATGTATAGCATTTTTAATTCGTGATGCTGCTCATATAACAATGGAAAATTTTGAAAGTTGTGTCCATTGTTTAAGAGTTTATATTGAGGCTAGCATGAATGGAGGTAAATAACTGATTTAAAAAAATATTATTAATTAATCAATTTTATTGAAATTGTGATATGATTTATTTTGTACTAATTTGAAATATTGTAAATATTGTAGGTTATAATTTGGAAAAGAGGCTTTCTCGAAATAAAAACATTAAAGAAAAGAGATTGGTCAGGTCGTCCAAGTGGAAAGATGATTCTTCTCATATGAGACGAACTCGCTCCAGTCCAAGGCATTCTGGAAATGGAAATCAACAGGATGATGATAAAATAGATCTGCTACCATTATNTAAAGTCATTAAAATCTATAATTTTTTTATTTAAAAATAAAATCATTTAATTTTATATATATTTTTTATAATTATAGTTACAAGTTTTTGAAATTTTGTTTGCATTATTGCATAAATTACAGTATGATGACTTCATATTTAAATAAGAAAGATAAGAAAAACTAAAGCTTTTTGAATAGGAATGTGGAAAAAGAATATTATATTCTTATTGAACTAGTTACCATAATTTTGTGTGTATAAGAGTATATTCTTATAGATTGGGCAAAATGGCACTATATTCTGCAAAGTAACTAAAAATACTCACCATTTTAAAAAACTTTTTTATAGTTTCAGAAGTTTTTTTTATTTTTAATAATGGTTACCACAGAGATACCACTGAATTACTGTTTTGGTACATTTACATTTAATTTACAATGATGCATTGGTGCAGTTCTCTTATAAGCCCAAACAAGCTGTCAAACATAAGAGCATGTTCTTATTTGTGTGTAAATAAGCGTAAATAAACTAAGTTTTTATTTAAAGTATATATTTAACATTAGATAAACTTTTGAACAGTATGTATTATGTATGTACTTCTCAAAACAGTATCAATTCAAATAAGCATTATAGCTGATTAGATAAGTTAATTGAATTAAAGTAAGTAATATGAACATAATAAAATCCTTAAATGATGTTCTATAATTTAAATTTAAGCTGCTGCTATTTTATTACATTGTAATGTTTGAATTATAGTATTTAGTATTTCAAAATAAAACTGAATGATGAGGAGTTACATTTTATGGCATCACAAAACAGTTCACAGACAAGTATTGCAGCATTGCAGATGTATTTCATATCTTGTTTTATATGGAAAAAGCAATATCTGTATAAAATTTTTTTAAATCTAGTAGTAATTTTTATTAGACAAATGTTTTTAACTGTATTAGTAGCCATCAAATCAGGTTTGAATATAGACATTAAGAACATTAACAGCAGGCTTTATGGAATAATTTTAAAATAACAACATATTATAAAATTAATGAATATAAAAATTAAAAATAATAAAATAAAATGAGCTTAATGAATAAAAAATTAACAGTAGCTTGATGAATGACATTTAAAATTAACAGTAACTCAATAAATATAATAAACATAAAGACAAACGATGTAATTACATATGTACAGTACATTTGTACGATGTAATTACATATATACAGTTACCTTTGTATTTATATCTGTAATTAAGTGTCTGAACACATTACTGCTTATTCAAAATATACCATGTATTAGACAATACGTGGTTTGTGCAGATACTTGTCAGTCTGTCTATAAATTTCAGTGATCTCGTGTTTTGTAAGTGCATGTTCAGTGATCTTCGATGGTGGTGGCTTTATCCTGTAAATCTCCACACTCACCTTATCATCTTTTTGCCAATAACTTAGCAAAATAATATAAACGTACTTATGAACTTTCTGCTTTTTGGCAAATTTACAGGTGAATGCTAACTTAGGTTCTTTTTCTCAACAGTTAAGATTACATTAATTAAGCATCAAACAAAACATCAACATCGACCTTTGCTGTGGCCTGAGACTGTCTCAAATTAATCTTGGCAACAAGTAAAAGATCATTCAGGATACGAGGATGAAGGTTCAAAACCAATTGGAATGTTTGATTGAAGGGCAAATCTTATAAATACTAAAGACTCAGAAAATTTTTCAGTCAGTAACATCCAAACCTGCAGCATACATCCATCAACTCCACTGACACACTATATACTTTTGGATTCAGCACTATCACCTTTTTCACAATTATGAACACCTGCTGGTTTTATTTAGTGTGTTAAAATTTTTCTTTTCTCTTTGGACTCTGCCACTTGTGTGAGCTTTTAGATAAGGTTTGAAATTAATTTAATTGCATATCATATAGGGGAATATAATTGTTACAACTAAATCTGAACAAAGGTTGTGTAAGTTATGTAAGAGAGAGGAGGAGAGAAATGTTGTTATCTAAACAAAGTGATGCGGAGGTGAGAAAAGGCATCCGGGTTCGACTCTTGCATATGTTGACAATATGTCAATGTCAACCGAGAGGTCTTGACACTGGTGCTCGTAAACAACAGATTGAGGTTAGGGTAGATAGAAAAAGGGAAAGGTTTGATGATCAGGGAGACATCACGTACGATTGTTAAAATTCTAAATTGACAGAGAAAGGAAACAACAGGCTAAATTATGAGTACAGGTTTCATAGTTTTGTCAAAATCTCTCTGTCAGAGTCAAAGGATGGTGTCGGATAGACCGTCTAAAATGGACCTTTCTTGCAACCCGAACTGGTCTTGGCTTGGAGTCAGTGGCAGAACCATCAAGAAGCAGTATAGGAGACTGAGGACCAAAAGTGCCATTGACCCCTGCCTATTTCAGTCCATTCAATTTCAACCTTCACGCACCTGTCCCGGGGCTACTGATTTTCCTTCTATGATGTTATCACACTGTCGCAAACAGTTCAACGAGCTTTTGAACAGCGTGTTATGAACTTACCTTTGTGGACATGGATTATCTTGCATTCTGTATTTGGAACCCTATTATGTAAGAAATCTCTCACAATAAATAGATTTTATATAAGACACTTGTCGTTTTTGCTTCCTCTGCACCACCCACATACACAAATCCTAGATCATCCTGATGCAGAATTAATGTTCCTTCCAACAGTTGGCCACTCACACTTGTCACCTGCTGCACCAAACCCATCCTTTCATTTCTTGAAGTGGACAATCAGTGAAGAAATGGCCAATCAAACAAGCCCAGAACAGCTTGATTGTTGAACTATTGTGCCATTTAACATGTAAAATTTGAGGTAGATTGTACATTCTCTCTCTCTCTCTCTCTCTCTCTCTCTCATGTATAAATGGTAATTGAGCAAAAAGACAAGTTGCCTCTTCTTGACCTCACTCACCCACATGCATGGCCTTTCTGACTATGCCATTCTAATACAATCCTAAGTTCTGATCTTATAAACCAAAAAAATTCAGCAAAAGAAATGTAAAATTTAATGAGAAACTAATGTTTTTGACTGCTTTTAGCAATCATCATTAGGTTACAACTGTTCTAAAAATGAACATACTAATTGAACAACAAAATTTTTAAAAACAAGATAGTATCTGATTGGTTAGTGAAGCAAGTGTGACTATCGATGTTAATCAATTACAAAAATTGATATACTGGATTTCATAAAAGGCCCACCATGCTTGTGACAGGATGTTATTGTCCTTGTAATTAATTGCCATGTCTTTTTTACATACTTTGTATATCTACAGTTATTCCAAGTGGCTTGATATGATTGATGTCTCAAGTGATGTATGAGATAAGCACATCACAATAGAAACTTTAAAATGCAGTGATATTTTTCATTTTTGAACATTTTTGGTCATTTTTTTATCAATTTTTTTTAAGATAAAATGACAATTGAATGACAGTTTTCATTTGAAATGAATGGAACATAAACATATTTCTGATAAATATTGGAATATAACCTAACCAGTCATTTAACAAAGACAATCTAATACCAGTAGATTATGACACCACACTTAAGTCCATGTATGAACTAATTTCACAATGCAGAAATAGATTATCCTCAAAATGCCACAATTCTCTGATTTATCAGTTGTCTATTACAGCCATGTGCAGTCACAATGTTCTTAATGCACTCTAGTTCTTCCATCCATCCTGCTTGCCCTACTTGAACAGTGTGTATATGCTCTTTGAACCACTTCTGTAAATTCTGTCACTTTATAATAGTTTTGGTCATTGGAATTTACTAGAATACATAATGATAGATGTGTATCCTTGCAATATACCCATATTAATACCTGGTTTTGTCTGAACTGTAACTGTGACATGTATATCCAGAAATAAGGCACACATCTGTTGTATTTAGAGGATTTGATCCCGGGATCCCGACCACTTTTCAGTCCCAAAATTTTCGGGATTAAGTTTTTTTAATCCCGAGATTTTCGGGATTGACATCATTTTTTAAAAAGTTGCAAAATAGACTGCATGAAGCGAAACGTTCAGTGCCAGTGCTTTTAACAGAATTGCTTGCCTATCATTTTAATATAAAATACAAGAAATTTTATTCCAAGCAAGCAGCAGAAATTAACCTAGCGGGCTTGCGATGCTTGCTTGGAATAAAACTTCTTGTATTTTCAACTAAAATGATAGGCAAGCAGTTCTCACTGGGTTACTTGGTAATATACTTCATTTTTGTATTTTTGAATTTTCGCGGGCGCCAATCGATTTTCTGGCGCAGTCAAGAGCACTACTCAGTGCGTTTTACCTGTCAATGTGTCAGCCATCTTGTTTTGCCAGTGTGGTTAATATAGACCCGACGCCTCTCGCTTAGGGGGGTCGACCTTAGGTGAAAAGGTTACGACCCCCGCCTTGCCCGTGATCTGTCAGGATGATGCGAGAAAGTCTTTTTACGTTTGGGAGTAGTGGTTTGCTGGATGCTGAGAGACTCACACAGAGACCGAATTTACAAAATTAACGTGTTTATTTTTAGAAAGGCATGCTTACAATGATCGAAACAATCGGGATTGTAGCCTTTACTCCTACAATCCCGATCTGTGTCGACCGGACTGTTTTCTTCCAACCTCCCCGTGTCCTCGAAGCTATAACTAGAACGGGCTTATAAGTATTTACTAACGATTCCTCCAACTTCCATCAAACCTAAACGCGTTTTCTCAGCAGCTGCATATATGTGCAACAAATTGAGAAGCAGACTTGGTGATGAGACACAGGATGCGTTGTTATTTCTCAGATCATATTTTCGCAATTCAAATTAGAATGTTCCTATTAGATTAGTTTTCTTTATATTTAAGAAAAATGTGACTGATTAATATTATTTTTAAATACTTTTTGCTAAGAAACTTATCTTACTACCTACTTACTAGGTTGCTATATGAAAGTAGTCTATTTAGTCGATGTTAAGAGAGATTTTTGTTAATTTTCAACGTTTATTTGCATAGTTTGTTACATAAAGGTTTTTTCAATTTATGTGAGTTTAAAGAGATCTCAGTGATGCTTAAAAAAGAATAAATTTAACATGAAGACTGAGTGATTTTAAGTCTGGTTAGTCTGACTCTGAGTCTGATTAGTTAGAGTGATTAAATTAGCTAGGTGTATACTGTAAAATATGTTGATTTTTGTCTAAATTTTGAATTTTTGATTTCTGTAAGATTTTCTTATTTTTTATTAACCCTCAATACCGAAATAATCCCGGGATCCCGGGATTGAATAAGTATAATCCCGAAATCCTGGGATTAGAAATAAGGACCGGGATCGAATTCCCTAGTTGTATTATATATACAGGGACAGGCAAAAGTAGCTATACAGTTGAGAATCTGAGAAATACAAATGTTTGGTATGCATTATTATTAATATTTTTATTATCTTTTATTAGTTCATATTCCTTATTTATGATTTAGTTTGTACATAAAAATAAATGTTTTTTTTACCCATTTTCTCCCTGTATGTTTTTTCCATAACAACAACTGTATACCTACNCCGACGAGAGCGCACTACATGACCTCACTCATACGCCGATTGCCAACGACTGACGCTTCCTGCAGGCGGGAAAAAATTCAGGGCTGTGCATGACTGTCCCCTCCACAACTCCACCGAAGAAGGCCTCTCTCGCATCATTGGTTTACGCGGAAAATAAAAAGGTCCGATACTTTTTGAACAGACCTTGTATATATCATTAACACTGTCTTATTAAAAAAAAATTAGCAAATTTTTAACAAGTTAAGCACAGCTTTAATTTTGAAACATCTGTGATAAGGGAAAATGAGTCAAGACATTTTTTAATTATAAGAATACAAAATATTTGAATTTACTTTGATTCAAAGCTTTGTAAACAATTTCATCATATATTATTACTTTTGTATATTTATTTCAGTTGTTAGATTTGATGCATACCTTGCATACTCGAGCAGCTTCTATTTTCAATTCCTGGTTAGAAGAAAAGTCAAAAGACGATCAGGATGCAGAAGTTGAAAATCAAAAAAATGATGCAGTTATTCAAATCGACGGAGGATTATGGACAACTTGTTGGTGTCCTCTTCTTCAAGGTTAGTATACTTTAAGCAACAGGTAATCATTTAATGCAATAAAATATCGATAAAAAATTTGTTCTCAAAGGAACATCTCTATTTTTTCATTTTTTATGCTAGTTTTTTTCCTATAGAAATTTCAGAAGGCAGATTTGAATCAGATATATTTATTAATTCTTATATTAAAAAATAATAAAAAAATATATATATATGTAAAACTTAGTGTCAGTAGGCATGACATTCACATTCATGAGCTAGCCTCTTTCAGGTCACTACAGAAGACAAGCTTTGAAGTAGGAACAAATACTACTCACGATAATTGGCTATAGCTGTGATGTGATATTGGCATCACTGCATCTCTCCAGCAGGAACACATGGTGCACTAGATTTTTCCAAATCTCATAGACATTTAATTACAGATCATATTTGATCAAAAATAAACCATTTTCTGAACAACTAAATTTTAAAGACACCAAATTTTATTATTTTGTTATTTTAAATTGTATATAACCAAAACGTACTGGAAGTAGAATAAGTTGGAAAATAAATTACATCGATATAAATCCATCTGGAGAGGTTGGAAATCTATAAAGCGCACATGAAAACCGGTTGTATAAACCATAGAGACGCCGACTCATTGTCCACTGCGTGGAGGTCCTTTTACAATTATTAATTTTTCACTATTTATTTAGTTTATTTGTTAATTTTTCATTAGTTCGTCCGCTAGGGCGTTTTCTGTTAATTTTTATTTTTATATTTGTTTTGAACGCATTTTATGTTCTATTTTTGGTAACTGAGGATGATCGTTGAAAAACGATTGAAAACATTTTTATTTTATTAAATTTTGCTGGATTTATATTGGTGTAATTTATTTTTCAATTTAAATTGTGTATTAAACCACAGTGCTAGAAACAAAGTAAAACTTACACCATAGTAAATTGAAATCAAAATTAATGATGTCACTGAGGTTAAACAGAAAATGTAAATCACATTATATTTGCTATACTTCAGGCAGTGGTGCACTGCATATCTTTAGTCACACAGTTTGCTCGAGGTTGTCCATTTGTGTGTGGAGCTGGCAGCATGGCATTACTTCACAACAAACTGTTCTTTGACTTTGGCCATTTTTCTTGCTTTGCGCATTATTTCTTCTGTTTTTTCTTTTTATTCCATAAATCATCATGGGAACCTAAGAAAGCTAGTGTAAGTCTAAAGGCACAAAGAAAAGAGTGAAAATAACAATAGAAGTGTAGAAGGAGATCATACAGAAGCATGAAAATGGAGTTTGTGTCTCAGATCTGGCATCACAGTTCATCTTAGTAAAGTCATTGATCTGTACCATTCTCAAGAACAAGAAGGCAATAAAGAATGCTAATGTTGCCAAAGGAGTGGCTATGATCACTAAGCAAAGATCGCAGACCTTAAAAAAAGTGGAAAAGTTGCTTTTGATTTGGGTCAATGAAAAGCAGTTGGCCAGTGACAGTATTTTGGAGACTATCATTTGTGAGAAAGCAAGGCTTTTGCACCAAAATTTACATAAGAAAATTCAGGCTCAAGTTTTGAGACTGATGTGAAAAGTTTAAGAAGCAAAGTAAGTGGCTTACACAGTGTGGTTCGGCATGGAGTGGTTTCAAATGTGAACAAAAAAGATACAGAAAAGTTTGTAAAAGAATCTGGTGTTTATATGACTGCTGTTTATATCCCTGAGTAAGTGCTTAATTGTGATGAAACCAGACTGTTTTGAAAAAAATGACAAACAGAACATACATAACCCAGGAGGAAAAGATTGAGCCAATGAAGGACAGTTGTAGATCAATTTTACAACTAATATTAATTATTTATGTGAAGAATTATTGTAAAATGCAATATGGAAGATGGTAAGAGATCAAACTAAATCCCTAATGTATAATATGACAGTATCAGTTGTTATTTTTGAATTTTAAAAGATTTTGAGATTTTAAAAATGCAATATTATGAATTTGGGAAAAATCTGAAATACTCTAATAATCTAACATAGATAAAATATTTTAAACTTTCTGGAAACCCTCAGGATTACCATTTATATCCTCAGTTTGAGGAAAGATGNGAATTAATATATATATATATATATAACTGTAATTTATTCTTTGAATTAAAATAGCTCAATATTTTAAATGTGTTCTTAACTATTCTGTACAAAAAAGAACAGTTGTCAATATTCCATGATTTTTAAAAACCTGAAGGTGGCCTGAAGAACAGGTTGAAAACATTTGTTACAGTTAATAAATAATTCTCAGTGAGATAAGGTGTTGTTGTGTAGGTTAAGCATCTAGCAGAGTATTAATTAAGTAATAAAAATTTGATAATCAACATTTAAATTTTAAAATTAATGAAGAAATAAAATAACTAATATAAAATGTCAAAGTTCAAGTTTCAAAAATACATTTCCATTCCATGGATAGACTGTCAACATCCCTACAATTTTGTTTTTTGTGAGGTTTAAACATTTCTATCATTTGCAAGTGATCAGGATTGTTAGGATTTTTATTGGATTGGATTATTGCTGAGTCTTCCCATGTGATTCTTATGACCTACTCCCTAGTGTAGTTGGCTAAGATCATGCTGTTTGTGTTCCTGTTAATTGTATATTAATGCTCCTTGAGTCTTTCAAGCTCCTTGCTGTAGCTCCCACATATGCATGTTTGACACTGAAAGCATTGATCTTCTAGAGTGATAGAGTAAACTCCTGGTGCAGTGGAATGGATTTTTTTAGATTTACCATTTCTGAGAATATTAAAAATTGTATGATTCCATTTATATGCTATTCTCACATCCTTGTGAATTTCTTCAAGTGTGGGAAAGTAATTTACCCTGCACTGCCTTATGGTATTCTCTTGTGAAGATGCATTTGTTGTCCAATTATTTGCTGAAATTAGATTATTTATTATTGTTGATGGATAATTGTGCTGTGTGACAAGTTTATCAATGTATTCTAATTCCTCTACTGTGTCCATAATACTTGTACAGTGTATGCACTCTCTTTTAATTAAATCTGCTAATTAAAAGAGAGTACATGACAATTAAACCATAAACTAGACATTAAAATTACTGCAAAGTACAGTCCTAAATTTATAAAAATTACTATAGGTAGATAAGAAACAAAATAAAGTAAGAAATATAGAATGTCTTACAGAAGAGGGTCATAAACAAATATAATACCTAGGTTAAGATTTGGAATTTTAATGGTCAATATTGCATTGATGTATTCAAAGATTTTATTAACATTTAAGGATGGGAAAACATTAATAAAATACCATCTCTTTATGGTTACTTCTAGAAATGGGCATGGTTGTAAGGCCTTATGAACAGATTAGATTAGTTGATTCTCATACACAAGTAAATTTGTGTCCTTGTCAAAAAGAACATTTTCAAATTTAATTAAGTTCCCCAGTTTAGTATGTATAACTTTCTTCGTCGAATGTATAGCTTTTTGAAGGCAAAGATGCTTTAACTTAGGTAATAAGGATTCACATCCTACCGGGAGCCAAATACAGTATATAGACATTAGAAATACTTTGTAATTTATGCATTCCACCAAGAAGTTGAATTTAAGAAAGTTGAAAAGTTGAACAAAAGCTAGAGCGAAATTGGTTCTAGCTTTTGTTAAGGCTAGCACCAGTCTTCTATAAAAGTTAGCCGGCATAGCTTAATTAGCTCAAACTCTGCAAGCCTGGAATATATTATACAAAATAGCAACAAATTGAACCTTAAAAGAAAATCCAGGATAATTAATTGCAATCTCTAACGTTTTCAATCTACTTAGGAGATCTTCCTCAGGATTCTTTAAATAGGAATGTGTAAATTAGAACGTTTTTAAAAATTATTTAAAAATGTATAAACAAGAATTTTTCAACTAATTCTCTTAAAAATTTTAAATTGATTAAATCAAATTTAAATTTATCCAAAGTAATTTTTAATTTGACTGCTCCCTTAGGTATGCCATACCATACCTAATTAGTTAATTATACCTAACCCTTAGGTATAATTGCCATGCATAAGATACTTGTCCTTCCTCTTTGAAGTTAATGCAACGGCCAGTCTTCATGGATTTGAATATTTCGAGAGCTTCCAGTGTTCTTATTTGGTCATCATGCATAGATTGTCTATAATGAAAGCTTGGTCTAGATCAGTGTTTCTCAACCTCTAAAGAATCATCGCCCCCTTCAACGTAGTATCACCCTCTTCAGTAAAACCGTTACGTAGTATAGCCCCTTCACTACAAAATTCCGATGCCGAGGGCCAAGACTAATGCCAAATTCATGCTGCATTGAATAGAATAGTGACTAGTATAATGTTATTTGTTTAATTATTGTATGATATAAAGAATAAAATATCTAATGATTCTTAATATAATGTTTTACTATATCACCCAGAAAATTGTTTTTCGCCCCCCCAAAATATAAATTGTTACTAATCACTTTCTCAACATGGAAAAATGCCCACATGGGGGCGATATTGCCCCGTTGAGAAACACTGGTCTAGATGGACTTGAATGTCATTGTCCACGGCATACCTGGCTAGGGCGGTATTATATTTTCCTTTATTGATATCATACTTGTGTTCAGCCAGCCTTTTTTTGAGAGATTGTGTGGTGGTGCTGATGTACTCAAGATCACACTGGAATCTATTCTCTCTCAGCATAAACACCAGGAACCCTGGCTATTCTAGAAAAACATCTAGAACTAACCAATAGAAAAGGCATTGTGTTTCACCAAGATAATGCCAGACTGCACACATCTTTACGAACATGCCAAAAATTATTCGAACTAGGCTGTGATGTTTACCCCACCTCCATACTCACCCGACCTTGCCCCATCGGACTACCATTTGCTCTGTTCTCTGCAAAATTCCCTTCATGATAAAAACTTTGATACTTTAGAAGCTTGCATAAACCACATGGATTAGTTTTTTGTGGGAAAAACTGGAAAGTTCTACGAAGAGTGTATCATGAATCTTCCCCATAGATGACAACATGTCATTAAAAACAATAATGCTTACATAATGGAAAAAAAGTACAGTGGGTGATCGGCTAACGAACAAATCAGATGACGATCACTTTCACGAAAGATTTTTATGATCAGATAACGAACACATGTTCAGATAACGAAACACTTCACTGCACAACATAAAAAGAAGTAATGGAAAACAATGAATGCCAATTGTTTTTCCTTGTCTTCGGGTAACAATTTGAAACCTTTTGGAGCACAGGAGCATCAACATCGATGCTCAACCCGATACCGATCGGATAGTGTTTCCTTGAACTTTGAAACTCTCCATTGTAATTCCAGCGTTTTCGGTCTTTTAATAAGACCGAAAACGTTTGAAGTTTTCTAATAAACGTCGACTGCAAGAAAAGGTGTTGTAGTAAGTGTTTTTTGATATTAAAATATGCAGTCTAGAACGATGTGTAATTCCAGCTTTTTGTTTACTTTTCTGACGAATAATTTTTTTATAGTCTTCACGAGACTGTTGGGCATGCCATAAGTTTTGCGTCGGTTTTTATTTCCTAAAGGTGAAAGTTTAACTATCCTATCAAGTATTCATTAACGTTTTAACACCAAAACTTCAAATTACATTCAGGCCTCACATTTACATAATTCTTTCATGCACTAGTTGATTTCTGTTCTCTGAATTTTTGTGAGTACTTTTCTGAACTTTTTATTTCAAACAGAAACTGATAATATTGTCGAGCCTATAAAGCATGGAGTTTCAAGAACCATGCTCACCATAGAAACCAAGCAAGGGATAATAGCCAAAGTAGAGCAGATGTCTTATGTTACTAGGCAGTATGGCTTGAACAGGTCAACAGTAGGCACAATCTTAGCTAAGAAAGATATAATCAAGAAGACTCAAAGAATTAAAGGAGTAACAAAAATTACATCTGAGAAACAAAATGTTCCATCCATGAAAAAATGGAGAGATTGCTTTTAATTTGGATAAAAGAAAGGGAAATGAAAAAAGATGTAACTAGTATGACTATCATTCAAGAGAAAGCTAGAAAAATTTTTGAAGAACTGAAGAAATGAACTCCACATTCGTCACATGAGGAGATAGAATTCAAAGCTACTACTGGTAGATTTTCAAAGTTTAGAAGGAGAACTGGCATTAAACATGTGGTGATTCACGGTGAGTCTGCTAGTGCAGATAAAGAAGAAGCTGAGAAGTTCTGTCTCAAATTTGAAGAATTCATTAAAAAAGAAGGATATTGTCCACAACAGATTTTCAATTATGATGAAACTGGTTTATTTTGGAAGCGTTACAAAAGAAGAGAAAAATATTCCTGGGCATAAACCCATGAAAGACCGATTGACGTTACTTTTGGGAGATAATGCTAGCGGTGATATGAAGCTTAACCTACTTCTTGTCTATCACTCTGAGAACCCTAGAGCATTCAAAAAAATTCCATAATTAAAGAAAAACTGCCAGTGATGTGGAGATCAAATGAAAGGGCATGTATCATGCAGGTTCTTTTCAAAGAATGGCTGTTTAAAGTTTGTGTTCCAAGCATCACCTTCAGACCAATGAATTGCCATTAAAAGCACTGTTGCTATTGGACAATGCACCAGGACATGCAAAAGACCTTAAAGCTAATTTGCTGGAAGACTTTCTCTGGCTGACAGGTCAGTTTCTACCTCTGAATACCACTTCGTTGATTCAACCAATGGATCAAGAGGTTATTGCAGGTTTCAAGAAATTGTACATTCAAGCACTGTTTCATAGTGTTTTGAAGCATGCCAGTTCTTTTCAACGATGACATTAAAAACAATTTGGAAAGAAAAATTTGATATTCTTGAAGCAATACGGCTCATTCAAAAGGCATGGTCAGAAGTCACTCAATGACAGTTGAATTCTGCTTGGTGAAAGCTGTGTTCCTCCTGCATTCAGGGAGAGAGAGAGAGAGATGATGTCCCTGAAATTATGGATGAAATTGTGACAACTGCTAGAGATCTGGAATTGAAAGTGAATAAAATTGTCATTGAAGAGCTCATAATGGAATCTGAAACTGATCTGACGATAGAAGAACTCCAAGAATGCATAAATGAAGAACACCAAGAAACTCGGCAAGATGTGTTTTCTTCTAGAAAAGAGGAGGATGAAAAAGGATCAATGCCAACATTTGCTATTAAAGATGTTTTGAAGAAGTGGGAGGATGTCAGAACAACAGTCTTAGAATGGCATCCAAACCAAATTGAGGTTAGTAGGCTTGGGGATCTCTACGACAACAATGCTATTAATTACTTCCGAAAAATCCTGAAGAAGAGAGAGAAGAAATCGACATTGGACAGATTTTTTAACCCCTACAAATGGAAAAAATATGACTAATAAAAATGCAAGACTGTGTATATATGTATTTTTATTTTTACATATAAATAAACGTAGTAAGAAAGTATATATTTTTTTATTTTTTGGAATTTCCAGAAGGAATTAATCAAATTCCATAAAAACCTATGGTAAATTGATAATTGGTTAACGAACAATTCGGATAATGAACAAAGTCTTGGAATGGATTATGTTTGTTAACCGATCACTCACTGTATATTTTTAGTTTTAAAACAGTTTTTTTTCCTCTTAAAAATAGCTATGAACTTTTGAAACAAACCAATAATTGACACTGACAAAAAAACACTTATGTACTTACTCCAGTAACACTTAATAGAAGTTATGAATGTTTTCAACCATACTAACAGACATTCCTCAGCTAAAAAAGCCATTCCACAGATAGAACATTCAAAAGTGGAGGAACATTCTGTTTTTGAATGGTTTTTGTAACTAAGATGTTCTCTTTTTTTTTCATGTTAGTGTCTATTACAAACTGTTCCAGCTTATTGGTAAATTAGTTACCGTGGTACCTCAGGATACGAAATTAATCTGTTCTGAAACTGAGATTGTATCATGAAAATGTCGTAAGGTGAATCATTTTTCCCCATACGATTACATGTAAAACCAAATAATTCGTTCCAACATGAAAAACANGACGCAAAATATATTTAAGAGTTTACAACCACTGTGCTGGGTGAGACGTTGTTGAAACAAAAAAAGTTATCATTCCATCACGTACATAAACAGTATCGTAATTCGCCAAGTGCAAATCCGCAAATTCGTAAAATTTTTGTTTATTTTGGACAATCCGGATAATCGAAAATCCGGATAATGGAGGTCCGGATAATGGAGGTTCTACTGTACTTAAAACAATAACTTAAAAATAACTTAGAAAAGATAAAAAAAATTAGTGTTGTTTTATATAGATATATATTTTTTAAATTTTTATTCACTGCTTTTTGCTTTTTTTCCTTCACTTCCGCCAGCACTTTCACTGGACATTGGTAAAATATCTGTCCAAAGAAGTTTGGCTTTGCCTACTTTTTAAAATGTTTCTAAAATGACTTAGGCAAATGTCATTACTCCGAGCAGCAATACGGCCAGTGTGATCCTTTCCGGGATATTTCTTTTCAATAAAATCAGTCACTTTCTTATAATACCTCAAGATTTCCTTTATCGAGTGAGATCCTTCCACGACGAAGCAAACGTGCGGACTGAGACCAATGAACAGAAGTGAATAAAAAATGGTGCTGCGAACTAATGTAACGTCGTATGGTGAGTTTTTGTTCATATCTTGGAGCAAAAATATGTTCAAATTTCATGTCATATCCTGAAAATTTCATATGCTGGGGCGTTCATATACTGAGGTACCACTGTAATTTAATTTATTGTACTGTACAAACTAGCATTTAAGCATTTGCAGATTTAGCTTTCTAAGTCTAAGTTAATGTAGAAGAAGAGAATTTAAAAGAACAAATTGAAAATGTTTTTATGTTTTATGTCTATATTCTAATACACAAAAGTAAATTAGAAAATATTTTAATAATACACTTTTATTGTAACATATTATATACAGTATAAATTACTATTATATTTCTATATTAAAACTGAAAATCTTGATACTAGGTATTGCTCGACTCTGTTGTGACACACGGAGATCCATAAGAACTTCAGCATTAACTTACTTACAGAGAGCGCTGCTGGTTCATGATTTACAAGTTTTATCTGCTGTAGAATGGGAAGCTTGTTTCAATAAGGTAATTTTTTAAGTGTCCATTTCAATGATTTAAAAATAATTTGACATTGTTTAATTAAAGTTAGATATATCTAAATTTAACAATAAAGTATATTATTGGGTTGATGCAAAAGTTTCTGAAATTTGCTATAATTATATAGTACAACATTTATTTCAAAAACAAAAGTTCATTCAAGAAAATAATTGTCATTACATTCAAACACTTTTTTCCATAAATTGGACAGGTCATAGATTATAGTGAATAAAACTCAGGCTGTTTTGACTTGAAGGTCTGCAGGTGTGATTTTCAGCTCTTCATCAGCAAACTGCTTGTAAAGTACTATATTATTTTTCCGACTTTTCCAACGATTATCGACACTACTGTGTGCCGGAAATAGCCGTTCCCTAATGGGTACTTTACGCGGATTCGCGTTAGTGTGCCAGGCCTGGACTTTAAGCGTGCACCGAATTAAATAATGACAAAGTTTGTCAATAACAAAAATCAAATATTCAAACGTCTAGTAATAAACTATATACAGTATTTAGTAAAAATCAAACAATAATTTATTCAATGAAATTCAACAAGAATCAACTTGACAAAACTCAAACCAATCTATTTCTAACTTAATTCTATTCCCCTTTGGAATTCGGTAAAATCAAAGAATTAACTTATAAACAATAATTCTTATAAATTAAAGATCCTAATCGTCACCTCAATATACTTGGAACCTATTTCCTCAAACTCTCAAGACTTTCTATAATCGTCGATCCACAAATCGAATAACTTCAAAATCGCCTTGGAACTATTTGATCCTATCGGACACCTCTCTCGTTCACTGCTACGAAGCTCACCAAAGCTCGTTGCTATCGGGAGTTCACCTCAGGCATCTTCACTTGACATTCTGTTTTTATACTGTGAGGTGACGTCACAATTCTGAATGAGATCACTCCCCTCATTTACATACTTATTCGCTAACAATAATTTTTTTTCTATTTGTCTGGCAGCCTATTTTCCGACAATACTCGCTAACCTTTTACATTATTCTTTTTCACAATTTTCGGGACGTTTTTATTCTTTAAGGTTTAGCGAGTCCCTAATTCGTGCTTGTGGGGTCTCCCCCCCCCCTTTTCTTGGTGCGGACTTAATTTTTTCTGCTCGGGAAGCACAAGTGTGCGCGAGTTTTTCTATGGCGCTTTTTTTTTCGTCGGTGAGTTGGTTTTTCTTCTATTTTTAAATTCCTAAGGTGAATGGTGAGGAAACCTTTGTCCTAACAAAACATAAGCCCCAAACAAAAATAGAATAAGAAGCAAAATAAAAGTAAATAAAAATAACGTCGGACTTGGTTCCTTACATGCTTTCTGTCCAAGAAATGTTGCATGGAGAAGAAGAGATAGTAGTCAGATGATGCAACATCTTATCTATATGATGAGACATTGCTTCATCTTGGAGTGAGGGAGAACCTCCAAGATGAGACAAATAGAATCTGCTGGGTCAACCTTGACATTTGTGGTCTTGTCGTGAAGAAAGCACACAATATTATCTATTCTACTAGTATGGATAGCATCAGCCATTTGCAGCTGAATATAGTAGATTTTGGAAGTTATAATGGTATTTCATGGAAGTATTTCCTAAATGGACTGATCTGCAAACATCCTACCAAATATACAGTGTAGCCTTGTGCTGATGCAATTTCGGTTTTGGTATGGCCTGTGCTACTTGATTTATGTCCATCCACAACCTTTTGCACTTTAAGTTGACACACAGTCACCATTTTTCATCTCCTGTAACAATGCTATACTTAGCTTGATACTTCAAACCAAGTATTCTTTTTAGAAAGAAGTTTACTGTACACCTCCATACAATGAAGGTGTGCACCAAACATTCATTGATCTTGCAGACCTTTCCAATGGCAAGTAAATGAAGAACTACAATGGAAAGGTTACAACCAGTATTTTTTTTGTCATGGAACGCAATGGAATGGCGTTCCACCACCTTTTTTCAATATATTTTAAAAGTTTTAAGAGAATTTTTGAAAATTTGACGTTTGGTCTGCGTTGAATTGCTCTGTTGAGCATGGAAGATCAGCAACAAAATCATTAAGACGGTCCTGCTCCTGCTTGTGTGCCGAATCTTGTGTACAATGCATGTAATATATTTTTAGTAATGAGATGAGCGTTCCACCACCTTTTTTTCCCCAAAAAAAGCACTGGTTACAACCAAGTGTCTTGCTCATTTTTCATACGGTCAGGAATGGGTTGGCTTCCACTAGTTGCCACAGCTTGCCCAATATTTATCAAACTCCATTATAAAATCACAATTTTCATTACACTGGTCTAGCAAAAATGCTTCAGAAACCAAATCAAATAAATTTTAGTAATTTGAGGCTGCTGAATAAGAATGTGATGATGATTATTGTCAGTGGCTCTAGTCTTCAAATATTTGGATAATACTGCTGTGACATAATATGGTGTAGTTGTCTGTATTGAGAACTAGGTTCTCATAGTCAGATGACAATGACACTCAAGTTACTTTTATAAAGAACATGCACAAAATTGAATAGGATTCTTCTTTTTGAAGCAGTAGTAGTGATAATCCATATTTTAGGGGTATCAAATGGACAACTCATTAGGCAATAAAAACTATATGTTTTATGCATGACTAATCTCCATGCTGGTAAATATATTTATTATTTATTTGAATGTTTTTCATATTAAGGTATTTTCTGTTTTTCATCTGGGTTCAAGCCCTTTGAGCCACTTCCATACTTACATTCATGTCTTTAAGCACTTATTTTTATGAAAACACAAGTAAATGGAAAAACTGTATAGTCCAAAATAAACAAATAAACTAAACCTTGATGAATTCAGCTACAAATGTATTGAAACAAAAACGTTTTCAATCAGATTTACTGATCTTCCTCAGTTACAAACTTTTCAAATTCTTTAGAATGTATAATTACAAATTCAAAGTAATAAAGTCGCAAATACGAAAATTTTAAGAATTAATAATTAATAAACACAGAAAATTAAATCTTGTAAAATTAATTAAATTAATAAATATCAAACATTTGAAAATTTGTAATTCTGAATAAAATGCTCATAAATTATATTTTGTAAATTGCCCGCTAGGCATTTGATAGATTTTTTGCATCTAGATCAGGAATGTCCAACACGTGGCCCACTTAATATTTTTTATGTGCCCTAAAATTTTTATGTACATTTACATTTATTTTGGTAAAGAATGTTGTAAAAATTATTCTTGTTTTACTGGATACACTTTGATGTCATAATGATGTAATTTTTGCTAGAAAACTGTTTTACCCCACATACATAACATACTGTTGTGAACAATTTTTTTCATCCTTGAAAAACATGAAAACTGCTGAAAGAAATAAGTTGAGTGATTTCCATTTAACTAACATTCTTAGAAATAAGACTAGTACTATAAAAGCAGGTATTGACAATATTATAAAAGGAAGGCAATGTCAAAAATCTCATTGAATTTATTTTTTATTTTGTGTGGGTATAATTGTTTTTACTGTTAATAATACAGTACAATAAATCTGACTTACGGAACCTTTAACCGATGCGTATCACTTTTTCTTTCAAAAATCAAACGTTTTCATAACCCCTTCTGGGTTCTTCATCAGGATAACAGCTGGATCGAATAGCGATTTCAACAAGTTTGAATGAATCCGAACTTGAATCGTTCAATTCGCTTAATCCGTCACGTGATATGATTGAAATTGTTCTATTTTGACGGTCGATGTACAAATTTAAGAGAAAGATCCAAAACATGTGTATTAATTCAAAAGAAGAGATCAGCCTTTCCATGGCGTGGCAAAACCTACTCCATAAAGAGTGATAACGAAATTATATTAAGCCTTAAAAATAAAAATTAAAAATAAATGATATTAGGGAACACGAGAATATTAAATAATCTTTATATCTTAATAACACGTTTTGGATCGTTCTCTTAAATTTGTACATCGACCGTCAAAATAGAACAATTTCAATCATATCACGTGACGGATTAAGCGAATTGAACGATTCAAGTTCGGATTCATTCAAACTTGTTGAAATCGCTATTCGATCCAGCTGTTATCCTGATGAAGAACCCAGAAGGGGTTATGAAAACGTTTGATTTTTGAAAGAAAAAGTGATACGCATCGGTTAAAGGTTCCGTAAGTCAGATTTATTGTATTATATACAACCCGATGTGCAGTGATAGTATATTATTATATAATAATACAGTATTTTATGTAATTATATATATTTGTTATTGTTATAAAAAGGGCTTGTTTTGGGGCTGGCTTGTTCCAGATGATTCCTGTTGCTTTTCCTGGATTGAAGATCAGTTTGTTTTTCCCTTCCCATTCACTTATTTTTGACATAGCCTGCTTTCCTTTCCTTCCAAGTTCTGCTCTAGAGTTACCCGTCAACAGCACGAGTGCATCATCCACATATGCAATAATTTTGTCTTGTACAAAGTCTTGGGTCAAAAAATCATTGAAAAAGACACACCATAGGAGTGGCCTGCAGGCCGAGCCTTGTGGACAAGCCCCTATTATACTCATTCTCAAAAGTAATATTCCCTGTTTTGATGGCAATAGTTTGCTCATGAAGGTATTGTTTCATCAGTAGATAGATGTTCATGGGGCATTGTAGTTGCCTGAGTCTACAAAGAATTGGTGGTTACCATGTACTGTCAAATGTCTTCTGAATGGCTATACTAAGTCCAAAAACATATTTCTGTCAAATAGTGCTTTGATGTTGTTGACTGCCATAGTAATAGGCATGAACAGTTGACCTTTGCTTTCTAAAACCATACTGATTGTCACTCAGTAGGTTATTTGACTCAAGGTGCCAAGGGAGTCTGTTTGCAAGCAGTTTTTCCATTACTTTCACTACAGAGAAATCTGTCTGTAATTTCCAGGCTTATTTGCTTTAGGGACAACTACCAACTTGGCTCTCTTCCATTCCCTGGGGAAGATGCTGAAATGTAGGTAAGTATTGAAGAGG